CTCACCCCACCCATCTAAGTGCCTGATAGCAACACATGGGCTTCATCAGATAGTCCGCATCTCAGTCGTCTGTCTCCTAATTCATTGTGATTCGTTTTCGTGCTCACACACGCGCACAAGCCGGACAATGTGCTCGGTGTGTACACCCGTGCTTACTATAGACCTCATCACTGCGCCCGCACGCACGCACTCACGTGACCTGGCAAAAGTGTATCAGGCTTATACGATTGTATCGTATTTTGAGGGAATGGTTTCGCTACTCCGTTTTCTTCTTCGCATACGCTTTTTGCCTTGGTGATTTTCTCGGAATTCAGATTAAAGGGATACAAGCCCTTAAGTACAGTGCACAATTTCGCTGCACTTGATCAGTTTTAATCGTTCAATGTTTCGGTTAGGAAGCACTTTAGGAACTGTTTCGTCCATGCAGGCGGATATTAGCGTGAAAATGTGGTTTCATATAGTGATATTGTATTATCTAGTCAATGCTGAGATCGATTTTGACCTTATAAGTAATAATGTAACTGCGTACAACATGTAGTATCCGAATGAATGAACAATATTTCCCCGGAAGTGCACGATCGGTTTCGCCCTTGTTGCTGCTCTTCAAGTATGCTTCACTTCGATAACCTGCCGTTATCTTTACGTACTCTCATTCTCTTTTTCACAAATTTGGGAAGCAGTTCTTTGGACGTTCTTTCCCTAGAAGCGCCACGTGTAAATCTGTTCTACAAATCCACATTATTGTAATAGGTTAGATGTGACTAACCTCTACTAGTTCGACTCAAAGGCTGATCTATATCTATTGTACGATTGGTACTATCAAAAATGAAGGACTGACAGCGGCTGTCAGTGTTTGGAGGTCGCCATGTACGGAAAACGGACCCGGGTTTACCTGGTACCTCCTAACCGTTTTGATGGCTTACTGGAGACCTTAGATACGAATGCTTGTAGACAATGACAACTATTCATCAGTAATGAAAAAATAATCTTCCTCTTTGATACTATATCCCACCGCCGACAGCTAACTTTTCCCCCTAAACGTGAATCTCGTGACAGCGATAAAATGACTGCAACCTATCTCATTCCTGAAAATTGTACATTTTTGTATTCTAAAAGGAAGCGAAAAAGTTATTATTAGTATACTAATTATAATAATAATTATTAATATTATTGTAGTTATAATTATTATAATTCGTACCAGATACACTGGCAAAGCGTAACCACGATTAGCACCTGAAGACGCCGGTCTTATGAGTGTATGGACCCCACTGAAGTGAAGTGAACGACAAAGTACCATACTCACATACAGTATGGACAAGACCTGGCATAAGG